TTTGGGTGTTGGGGGGGGGGGGGGGGGTTATACAATCTCAGATATTGTTGTTCATGACACAACACCAAAACATATTAAACTGTCCTTAAATAGTAAGCACCATTGCATGTCGATGACCAAAGTTCAAACCATTAAAACATGCTATTATTATAATATTAAGAAAAATTAATTAATTAATCTAGTCAAGCCCAACCATTGGCTCCAAGGGGAAGGGCCCAATCCTCAATGCCAATATTATCTGGGCTGCCGCCAGATATCCGTCTAGATTGGAGGCGAATCTCGTTAATTTTTGGGTTTGGGCTCCTTGGGAACACAGGAGCTGCAGAGGCCCCACCAGTGCTAGATGAGTCACAGCCCAACCCAATGGCAAAACTTCTCCTGGTGGATGAGTTCCAGTGAGGCCCAGGTGAGCCCCGTTGCTTAAACGGGCCTTGATTCCGAGTCTTGGCCTTTGTAGACTGGGTAGGGGCCATGTAGCTAGGTACACCTGCACTGTGGTTGCGCTGGTGGTACCTATTGGAGATTGGGCTTGTGTCAAAAGACTCTTGGTGGACGAGGCCCATGTTAGCATGAGTTGAGTCCAGAGCTGCAGCCATGTCCATTTCAACTGTCTTTTCTTCAGACATGTCATCAGTGACAGAAGTGGCTGTAGTAGAAGCAAGAGTCCTGTAAAGGGTCTCACGTGACCCAAAGTGCCTTAAGTTGTGTGATTGTGATGACATCCAACGTTCCAACCAGTTCCAATCCAATTGGGCTCTTTCACGCTCATTGGTATAGCTTCCAATTTCCTCACCATTTGGGTCTACCTGCATGTATTGCTTCATCTGTTGCTGCATACAAAATGATCAACATTCAAAGTGCATTTAGGATAATGAGTAATCACCACTCATATGGAACTATTTACTTGCTACACTACCATATTCTTTAGTGAAATTAAGACCAAGTCTCACATTATTAAAATAAAATAAGTAGAGAAATAAGATATTATAAAACACATACTCTATTAGTAAGAGATTTTTTTTTTTTATGACCATAAACAAAATTATAATAGCGAATGGAAGTTTTGTCAAATTACTGTGCATGTGGGGTTCTCTCTTGAAGGACAAAAATGAATAATACCTGGCAGTTGAAAGCGTAAGCAAGAGCTCTTTCTCTCTTCATTGCTGCTTCATGTTTCCTCAAATCATTTTCCTTAATTTGCTGTCTACTTTGGCGCCTATTGTCCCAACCATCCATATCTAACATTTTGATGGGGCTCAAAAGCTTGGATTCATGTTCCTCTAGCTCTTTTTGGACCTGCTCCTCAACTCTGCTCTGAAGCTTCTCCTGAGTCAGCTGGATTCTACGAGCTCTCACTCTAGTCTGCACTCGGACTAATGCATGCATGCATCGCATTGTCATCTGTGCTTGCTTTCGCACATTGTGTCCCCTCACAAGCGCTTGCAGCCTCACTAACCCCTTCAGAGCCCGCAGTGCACGTCGAGCCTACAAAATTCACTCAACAAACAACACACACCCAATAACAAATCAATTTGACCTTACTTGGGTAACAGTTACTTAATTAAAGTCATAATTCAAACATAACTGGGTTAGAATGAACCATCATAGACTCAGAATTCAAAGCGTACTAGTGTGGCCTGTGGAAGACTTAACTAACACATTTACAATGAGCTGCGAGGGCCAAAGAAAAGATAGAAGCAGAGATACTAATCAGTTGAGAAAAAAAAACAAGATGACTTGAATTATGTGTACAATTTAAGGATGGGAAAGCTCAAATATCCAATCGAATGATCAAGTTGTTTACATTTTTTTGGCGCTATGGTCAAGGGAATACTTCTTGCGTGAACATAGCCATAGACAGTTAGACACAGTTAATCAAAACTTAAGCAAAAATTTCTATCAAGTTATTAACTCTAAGCAAATCATTAACATTGTACCTGCAGATAACTCCCTTCCTTAACCCAACCTAAAAAGGGGATATTTTGTGTGGTTAAGCTCTTGCTACTCCGTACACTACGAATTCAATTATTTTCCCTATAAGTTTACCGTATGAAAAATAAATTATCGTGAACTTCAATTTTGAAGAGGAGGCGATCATATAGTACTGTAAGTCTGCAAGGGTCATTCATATTAATAAAAGTAACTGGAAAACTTTGGGAGTGGGTGGCATATTTATGGTCCATACCAAACCAATGAATTGAGCTGTTACACTGTGACATCAAACAATTAACACCAACTTCACCCAAAGAAGACAAGAATAATTACTTAGTTTGCAAGAGAAGGACAATGGAGGACTTACAAGGTAGCCTCTGTAGTATGATTGAATGAGTATTGCAGCTCTCTCTTCCTTGGAATGGCGTCCATAACCTGCCAATCTCACAACTCTGGCGGCTGCTTGACCAGCCCCCACCGCAGCTTCAGCAGCGGCTGCAGTTGCCGCTGCAAAGGCAACGACATGATTTCTATCTTCAGTCACTGGCGTTGATGTGGCACTCTCTTCATTGGTAACATCTGGAGAACTCTCTGCAGGAAAATGCTCCACAGACACCTCCTCTGGCGCTTCACGCTGCCATTGCTCATCCTTTTCCTTGTTGTCTTTCTGAAAGTGAAAACCCCAACATCCATCAACTCCTAATTAGCAATCATTTAGAAAATCAAGGACTAACAAAACATCTAACAGAATGTGTTTTATTTAGCATGATGGAGACTGCCACGGGATGCACATGATGATCGAGATGAATGATGTGATGGGCTGGGTTGTATGATAACTATGTGACCCAAATACTAGTAAAATTATTTATACATGTTCACATGATAGGGGACCATATACACATAATTACACTCTGCATTGGGTCGATGTCCTGAGGACCAGGTCGATCATCCTTTATGTGGTAACACTAAAGACAACAGCAACAACTAAGAAGTTCATTGACTATACTCACGAAGGAGCTATTAGCCTTCAATGCCTAAGGTAGAATGCAGTGATAGAATTAATTACGCGGCAGTTAAGCCATTTTTGCTTTCTTTAGGTTTGTTGGGGATTGATTGAGTAAAAGGTCATGATCATGACTCGTGACTAACTCAATAACTTGGACGTTACGTGTATCGGTGATTAATTACATAGTGTACACAATTAATATAGGGTGAAAGAGGAGAGAAAACAAATTAAAGAACGAGAGAATAGTATAACATACGTAACAAATGAGATAATGAAAAAATAAAGAGAGAAGTAAATAGAAAATGGGTTTAATGGTAATGTTTTATCATTGTAAAAACGTTTAACACAGTAAATCAATCAGAAAACATCATTGTTATGACTTATAAAATAATTATTGTAAAATGAAATAAACTTACGGTATATTATAGTTTGTGATTGGATGATGATATAAAATTATTTTATATTATGATGTGCATGGCCTTTTTTCTCATTGGAAAATAGGATGGAAGTGAAATAGAAGAAACACCGGATGTGTGTATTCAACAAACCTAAGTTAGAATCCCGAATTCCTTTTGATTACTCAAGGTTAACTAGTTCATTTTTTCCTTGTTTTCCCGATTAGAAACATGAAACAATCTTAGAAAGTCAAATTCGCCGTACAAAAATTAAAACCTTAAATTAAAATTAGCCTTGAAATGATGTTGCCGGAAAAACATGAATTTGATCTGAGTAGTCTGTTGTGTTTGGAGCGTATGAAAGTGATAAAATTGCCAAAAATGAATATGATAATAGCTAAAGGAATAGATTAGGCAAGAATTTGGTTATGCCTATAAAAAATAAAAAAAAATGGAAAATCGTAATGATTGTAAGATAAGAAATATGATTCTGTAAGAAGAGAGGAATGGATGACGTAAGAATTAACCTTTTTGTCGGGAGAGTCTTTAGAAGAGGACTTGAAAACTTTCTTGACGGAGGAGAACCAGCCGGTTCCTTTCTTCCCCATGGTAGAGGAAAGGAGGATCTGCGAGGAAGGTGTGAGAGAAAATGGAGAGAGGGAATGTTGGTGTTTGGGGTTTAGTTGGCATTATTGAGATTCATGAGAAAGTAATGTTTGGTCATTTAGCAGAAGAGAAGAGAAGAGAAGAGAAGAGAAGAGAGAGTGTGGCACTGGACTGAACTGGAAGACAGAGCACGAGAGAGAGAGAGAGATGGTTAGTAACCGTAATCGGAGTCGGAGAGAACAGAAGAGAAACTATCTAAATAGGACACAATCATATAAAATGGCACCTCACATTCTCATATCTCACTAATGTCAATCAAATTTTATGTTTTCAATTAATTATAAATTATTTTTATTTTTATTTATCTAAATTATTTTTTTTCTTCTATTTTCATTTTAGTCTTTTTATTTTTTAAATATAAAATTTTAATCACTCCGTTAAATTAATATTTATTAATTATTAAATTTTAATATTCATTTATTTATATTTTGATATTTAATAATATGATATTGAGAGATAAAAATATAAATTAAATTTATTAATAAAATAAATATCAATGGTCATTAAAATATAAGTAAGGATTTTTTTATATTATTTTTTAATTTATTTTTACATTTCACGTTATTTAAATAGTAGCATTTGATAAATTATTAAAAAAATATTAAAATTTAACGATTAATAAATATTAAAATATTCAAGTAACGATAAATTAAAATTTTATATTTTTAAGAATAGGAAATTATGTATCTTTATTTTAAAATAAAGAGATCAAATTGTATATTAACATATTAGAAAGACAAAAATGTAATATAGTTCTTTAAAATATACTTATATATAAAAGCGATTTTTTTTTTAACACAATTTTTAGACTATTTGACCTTTAAATTTTTAAATAATAAAAAATATTTTTAAAAATTAATTATTTTTACGAATTTAATACTTGAACTTAAGACTTTAATGTGTAAAGACTAAATACAATATCAATTGATTCAATACATATTAATAATTTTTAAACATTTTTAAAAAAAATTATACCCCCATTAATTTTTATGAAATTGATAAATTTTAATTATTTTTTTGGTAAATAATTTTTAATTATATAATGATTTATAATTAAATAGTTACACAAGAATCTTTTTATGTTATCTAGGTATTTTGATAAAGTTTTAATTAAACTTTGTCCAGTCATTTACCGGTTAGTAAAAAAATTATAAATGCACTAATTAATAAGGAATTTATATTTTTCACTAAATAACAAAAATTATAATTTTCCGCTAATTAATGTATTTATAATTCGGTCAATTAACTGAGTTGTCGTTAAATCGGTACGTTAAAAATTACTGTTTTTTTGGAAAATATTAATAAGTATCTTTAATGAACTGGTATCAAAAATAAAATAAAAAATAAAAAATAAATATTCACACGTTGATCTAACTTTATTTTAGTTTGGATTTAGGTTTAATTTTTATTGCGACTATTTTTTAATCTTTTCTATCTTTAAAAAAAATTTATTTTGACTTTTAATAAAAAAAATTTACATATTGATAAGACATTGGTTAGCAAAAAAACATTTATTAATAAAAATTATAATAATTACAGTAAAGTTTGAACCAAAGACACATACATATTATCTCAATCTAGTGAATCTACCAATTAAATTAATTAAATACATGAATATATTTTTTATGTCAAATCTTATTACAAAACTTCTTTCTTTTATTTATAAATATGATTTGTGGAATATTTTAAAATTAACAATTAATAATTAGTTTACACTTATAAAACGTGATTTTTGCTATTCAATACAGGACCTCATTTAGTTCCTATAATTTAGTTGCTTTTTGCTTGAATTTTGGGTTGAATCAGTTTAGGATTGGTTGGAAAGGTAAAAGGGAAAAATGGAAGATTTACATACCGTAGTAGTAGAAAGGGGAAAAAAAAAAAAGAATTTTAATTTTTTCTTTTAATTTTAGTTTGACTTAAATATATTTTTTAAATCATTAATTTAATATTTTGTTTTTAATTATTATTATTATTTTAATTTATGTATTTCATAAATTAAATATTATATAACAAAAATTTATAATAAACTATATGGACAGATAATTACTATATTTGAATATAGAAATTATATTTAATTTTTTTATAAATAGATATTTTGAAACATATAAATTATATATTTTATATTTATGATAAGTAATTTAAACTATAATACAATATTATTTTTAATTATTGATAATTTTATAAAAATATTAAAACTTAATTTATAAGTGAATATTTTATATATATATAAAAAAATTAATTAGATAAAAAAAAAATTTAAAAATATTAAGAATGCTTCGATGAAAAGCTAACTCCTAAAAATACTTTTAGGTAAGATAATTTTCTTATTAAAAAATTAGATAAATAAAAAATAGATTAAATAAAAAGTTGAAAAAAATATTACACATGTTGTCATTAAAGAATGGCTCATTAAAACATTTTTATATAAAATAGTAGTTTATATTTAATAAATAAGATTGATTTTTGTGATTTAGCACATTATTTTTTCACATCATCTTTAAAATAAAGGAAATTAAAAAAATAATATAAAACTAAAATAACAGAAATAATTTTTTGAAGAGTAAAATATAAAATATTTAATTTATAAAAACTAAAAATATATTTACAATCTCCCTCGTTTATTCATAAAAATTGATGAAACATTATGTATTCATGCTTACGAAGGAAAAGGATATAAACACAAATTTTATGCCATGTAGAAATTAAACATCCTAAACACATGCACAACATAGAAAGAAAGAGAAAGATCAATATCATATATTAAATTTTTGCACTCGTATAATTTAATATTTTCAGGATAGGAAATTAATTAAATATAATACTGATATATATGCAATGATCAAATTATACTAAAAATTTATAATTTTTAATAACTAGTATAAATATTTTGTTTCATCAAATATATGCAATGATCAAATTATACTTATATAACTTTTATCAATTATTATATTATTAATAATTTATAAATTTTTTTATTTGACCGTTCAATTTTTATACTACCTTGAAGGTAATTAACTAGTATAATACTCCCTTTCTTTTTATTTATAAAATATTTCCCAACTAATTCACACATTTTGTGAAAAGTAGTTAATATAGTTAATCACATTAAATTTGTGAATAATGTGTGTTGTTATTTCAAAACTACACTTAACTTTAAAAAAATATTATCTCTTTATTTAATTGTTTCTCATCTAATTAATTAATATTTAGAAAATAAATAATTAATCAAGTGCATTTTAGGAAAAAGAATAATTAATGCATCTAAAATTAGGGGGGGAAATCTAATAATAAGAGACAAATAATTTTCTGAAAATCATATAAATAGATAGGGGAGGATTAATTTGTAAAAAAGTTTGTTGTAATTTGTAAGTCACATATATAAGTTTTCTGACAAGTTTAGGCTTGAAGATTACTCATCATGATGGAAAATGGTTCCTTCTGCAACTGTTGAATAGTGAGATATATAAATATAATTGATGTGCGTTTTGTTTCCTTGTTACTTTCATAAATAGAATCACCTAGAAGTTGCTACGTACGTGAGTATGTATTTTGATAAATAATTGAACTTCAGAATTCTCCACACACAGCTCCATGCCTTCTAAATTCATGCCTACATATATATGAACACTTGTTTTTCATAAAACCTCGTCCTTTGGGTTAAGAGTTTGTTGCCCTACATCCTATAATGTGGTAGAAACATAACATAAAAATAATGTTAATATAGGAAATATGTAGGCAAAGAAAAAGGTGAGGGTAATTTATTTGCGTTCTTCTTCATGTGACTCAGAAGTAGGTAACGAGTCACGAGCTTGAAGTTGAACCCTTGCTCGCACGTCATGTACGCTGCCTTGTCCATTCTTCAACAATTGGTCCCACTCACTCCATTTAATTAAGAATCTGAGGTACTACGCGATTAAAATGCAAACCAAAACTAGTTTTCCCACTTTATTAGTCATTCAACGATATCAACTAGTTGGTGAAAATTAATGGATACCCATAAAATATTACAACTAATTATCCTAGGTTTTCCTATATTGATGAGAAAATATAATTCAAATTCAACACCTCCATATCTACCATGAATCCTCCTTCACAAGGAAATATAATTCAGCACCCCCCACAAGAAAGACATGAAAGAGAAATAGATTAATATTGCAAAGCAACACGAGCTCCCATTATGCATAGTGGTGGTTGTGAAAATCATTGATAAAAGGAGAAATCAGTTGCAAGAACTTTTGCCTTCATCCACATCCATGCTTTAAACACAATATCATTAAGAACTTTTATAAGAGTTTTCCGTTAAAACACACCCCATTGCCATGAAGCTAGAGGGACCATAAAGTAGCTATTCATCCACAATCTTATTACTCTTTCTATTATAACACAATTTGTGATGCCACCAAAAATGAGAAACACAATTGTATGGCAGGACAATAGAAATACCCCATCATTTGTATCAATCAAGTTAAACATAGTAGAAAAAGTGACATCCAAACATCAAATGTTGAGTAGTCTCAGGTACAGTACCATAGAAAGGGCAAAAAAATATTCAAGTTATCAATAATGATCCTCTTATCTAGAACAACTTTTATCTAAATTCTATCAAAAGCAACCCTCCACGTAAATGGTTGAATCTTCAAAGGTACTATGCTTTTCCACAAAGCCTTGAGGAAATCTGAATTTCGCAAAACATAATTAAGAATTGATATGCCAGTGTTTCGTTAGTTCCATTGTTCTTTATCCAACCTTAAAATTGAGTGTGTGTTTTGTTTTTTTTTTCAAGGATATTTGTCAACCTATATATAGTCTTCACACCGCTTAGGGAAGATGCATTTAAAAGAAACTTGAGGGAAGGGGATGAATTAGAGAAGATTTAATAAAATTAGTCTTGTTTGGTGAAGTAAATTAGAAGAAATTTGTGATGAATAAAGTGTGAGTTCTATGGTTTCAAATTCACCCTTTCACATTAGAGAATTCTCATGGATTTGTACACAAGAGTCATCGACAATTAATTATATCATCTTATATACAAGTTTCATATTTAACGATTAATGTACCTTATTTCAATACATTACCATCCTAAAGCGTTATTTAAGTATAGAAACAAGTCATTATATTCCAATACACATTCAAGCTAATGCAATATGCATCTATCACTTAAAAAATTGGTTAAATAACATAATTGATAATGTCAACTAGCATAATCATATATACTA